CTGGGGGTGTGTAGAGACATGTGGAGGAATGTGTTTATTTCTTCGTCGGAGGTATGGGTGNCTGTTCGAGTGCGCTCGGGTGGCTGTTTGGGGCTTTTGTTTCCTACCACCACCACCACCACCACCACCACCATCATCACCACCACCATCACCACCACCACCATCATCACCACCACCATCACCACCACCACAACCACCCAACGTTCCCCCTCCCGCCGCGCCGCTTTCCCCCCCACTCCCATTGGGACATTCGTCATACCGGCCGTCACACCGGACGGCCAAGACGCTTTTGACAGGGGGCTCCCTCGCACTAGTAAGAATACTCTTACCATGGAAACGCACCAGGGTTAAAAAACTCTTTTAAGCCCTAAAGACTATTAGCCTTCAACCCGTCGAAATCTTCACACATAGCTGTAGCTGTAGCTGTAGCTGTAGCCCGAACCAGTTGGTGGTCCGACTCAGGCCCTGACACCGTCCCGCACCCCAAACACCCCAAACCTCAACTACCCTAACTAATTCCAGTGCAGCTATCCTAATCCAAGCTGAACCCTCCCTGGCCCTGGCCCCTGCCGTACCGCACCGTACCGTAACGACTCAGACTGATGAAGGGAGCGATGGCGAGAGTGATGAAGACGATGATGATGATGAGGAGGAGGGGGGGGAGGGGGAGGAAAGTGATGAACCTGCGTTCTGGGTACCCCCAGACGACAACGAGGAGGAGGAGGAGGATATGATGTCAACGGATGACGACGGCGACGAGCAACAGCATGAGGGCGAGGAGCAGAAGGAGGAGCGGCCGGGAGCCAACGGCAGTGGTAGGTGTACACCAGGGTAAAGAGGGGAGAAGTGGGGTGGGGGTGGGGTTGGGTGCGACAACAGGGGAGGGCGGAGGAGAGGGGCTCAGGGCGCTGTTTGTCTGTCCGTCCGTCCGCCAAGGTGCAACTATACATACTGCGCATATTCAATTCAAACAGCCGCAAGGGAGGACAGCAAGGCGGGGAAGGAGGAGAGAGGAGATGCGGTAAAGTGATGGTGATGGTGATGGTGGGTGCAACAATGACACATTGGGTTCAATATTAACACATTGCGCGTGACAACGTCGCGGTAGATATTCTGTGCCTTGGGGGGGATTTGCATTGGTTGTTACCAACCAACTTCACAACCAATCCTTCTGTTGCAGCAGCAAATGGCGGCGGAGGAACGGCCCAGGGGAAGAAGCGGAAGGAGAGGAAGAAGAAGAGTAGGAACGGACTACTTGGCCATGCCAACGCTGGTAACGCCAACGCCGGTAACGCCAACACCAGGGGGTCATCGGCCGGGGACTTGCAAGCATCGGGCCAGAAGAAGCAGCGGCATCATCATCATCAACAAGAACATCAACAAGTACAGAAAAAACAAAGTCAGAAACATCAGCAGCAAGTGGAAGGGGCTACGGAAGCGCAGAAGGGGCTGCAGCAGCAGGGTGCCGTGACCGGCAATGACGGCAAGAAGATGAGCAAAAAGCAGCGGAAGAAGGCCGCCGCCGCCGCAGCAGCAGCGGTGAGAGCTTTTGGTGCATGAGGTGTGTGTGTATGTGTGTGTGTAAAAGTGTTTGTATGTGTATGTGCGAAGGGGGGAATCTTGATGCCGCAAATTGCGAAGAAAAATGAAAAGGGTGGAGGGTGGTGTTATCTTGGGTTTTTTGATGGTCGTGTTCTGTACGGAGCAGAGGCAGTGGGAGACCCTGCGTTGTACCAACTGCGCCATGGAGGAGCTGATGACGTGGCGCCAGGTGACCTTGATGCAACAACATGTAGGCGTTACACCGCGAGTTGTGTTTCCCCCTTTTGAGTGCTGTTGGCTTGATCACGTGTTTTTCCCTGTCCTTTGTATGCATGCACAAATACATACATACATACACGTGCTCTCTGCTTCTGGGTCGCTTCAAACCTTTCTCTGTGTGCTTGATCTGCCCACCAACTCCCTATCCCTTCCAAACGCGCGCGTGTGCCTTCCCCGCGTTCTACGCCATAACAGGTCGCCACACCGCAGGCTGACGACTTTGACTTTGACCTGGATGGGGATGGAGGTAGTGGCGGCGGTGGTGGTGGTGGTGGCGAAGATGGCACGAAGGTTTTAAGTATGCCTGACTTCGAACAGCTCCAGCTGCAGTCGGACCGACCCGCGGGTCACAGTAATGATGGCCCTGCCGGAGGCGCCGCTAAGCCAAAGTGGGTTTTGGCGCGTATGGGGAGTGTGGGCGCCAGGATCTTCTTTTATGGGAAGGGGGAAGGGGGAAAAGAACCAAGGACGAGAGAAGCTGATGCCAAGGATAGACTGATACTCCAGGCGTAAGCAAGCAATAACTAACCAGTCGCGGCTGGGCCGAGGGAAAACGGGTAAGATTTTGTTAACGCGTCGAGAAGAAAGAAATGCCCATCTTAAATTGTCACAACTCCCCATCACCACTACCACTACCACCATCACCAGCCTGATTTGTTTTTGTGTGATTTTTACACTTTGTATTATTGTGCAGGAAGAAGAACATCAACCGGCCGGCACCTGCTAAGAAGGCAAGAAAGGACTGAGATCCCCAGGTGCAACCGCCTACCTCACCCCAGCCACACACACACATATACACACACACGTATGTATACACCTCACACACGCACTCCCCACCAGCGCCGGCCCCCCAGGGAGGGAGTCCGGCTTCCCTCGAGATTTCGTTCCCACTCCTATCCCCGTACAAGATCTCCCCGGTATATGTTACAGGGGCTGGTGTGGGGATTTGGAAGTGTGAGACCCGGGATGTACGTCATCGTACGGCAGGGAGGCGTAGAGGGATGTTTCGATTGTGTCATCCTCTCCTGGCGCGGGGGGGGGTGCCCCCCTGCGGTGGGTTGAGGCACAGCGAGAAGGGCCCCACTTATGAAACGGTGGGGAGACGAAAGGGACGAAAGCAACGTGAGGCAGTTTGGGTTATGGAGAGAGAGACAGAGGTGAAGAGACATAAGTTGTTTTAGCACTCGTGGGAAGGGGGGGGAAGAGAGAGAGAGAGAGCGAAAGAGAGAGGGGTTGCACAGTTGCATGTATATCCGGTAAATGTGGTGGATGATCAGAAGGCACCGAAGAGGAGGGGAAGGGAGGAGGAGGATTTCAGCTCTTGCTTCAAGTGTGCGTGTATCGTTCCTAGTTATCCCTCTTATACCCCCACCCAACCTGTTATTGGCTTCTTACTCCCTTAAGAGACATTTGGAGTGTGGTGTGTTTTGTCAGGTTGTGGACCTAGTAGATCAGACTCCACCACGGGAGACTTCCCTAAACTGTACGCTCAATAGTACGTCTCTGCAGCGAAGCCGTAGAGCGAACGACCACAGGATAGGAGCAACGTGATGGAGTTGATCTCGATGTTACAGTGTAGCACCGAGAAGGGATTTTTTTTGATGCCATGAAAGTAAACTGCTAATTAGATGCTGACAAAGATGATACAGATTTTGTATATATGCAAGAGCGTTACAAGAGCAACTAACAGCTCAGTTCGGCCACAAACTCGCTGCATAAAACGAGCATTCCAGACCAATAATGTTACCAAAAATAATGTTAATTTTCCAGAACCTATTCCTGCCACGCTCCCTGCCACTGGGCCTTGGCGGCCTAACCCCTGTACCATGCTGTCCTTAATCTGTGTTGAAAAGAGTGTGTTGGTGTGTGGAAAAAGAGAGGTGGAAGAGAGGGGAGAGGCACGGTCTTGCGGTAGGCGGGATGGTTATGGTTCCCCACCACAACAATTCAAAAAGCAAAAAAACAATAAAATTGCCCAATTCAGCACCTCCGTCTGCTCTGAGGTACAAAGTCCAGAACAGGCCGGGCAGTGGCAGTGATGAGTGTTGCGTGCTTTCCAGGCATCCTCCTAACCCCTTGCCTACACACGAAAAATAAAGTGCGGTATGCGGGAAGGGTTCCCTGGTGGTCACGTCTCGGTCGATCAGATCCTCAACCAAGTCGTGTACATGTGTAGAATCGCACGCAAGTTCTACACACCCAGCAAGGACATGTGTAACTTACTGACCGTGTCAGCTGCCCTACCCCCTTGCTGGTTAGTTTAAGGGTATGCGATCTCGAGGCCATCCTGTTGAGGCGTCTCGTCGTGACCCTCCCCCCCAATCCAAGTCCTACACATCCCGCACGATCACACACATGCCGCCCACACGTCTATATTCACCCGCATGTGCAAGTTATCCCATATGAGTACTTGCCGCCTGTTCCTAACATTCCATAAACAGTTAGAAAAAAGAGTCGAGATGTTTTAGACCCCACGTCAGCTATGTGTTTAGAATATTTTAATGACGATTCGGGAGTGGGGGAAGAGGAGTGGCGGACTTCCCTGGAGGCCGTGTTGCAAGGAGGGGAGTAAGAATGTGCATCTTCCATGAGAATCCCACTCAGTGTACGACAATGATGACGCATGTACGGACGTAACCTAGCAAAAAATCCATGAACGAGCGTTTACGGCATCGTCATGGGACCTGCGCCAGCTTGATGGTCCGGTTGTTTGCATGCTGCGGGGCACGGAAGTTAGTTCCGTACGCAACGACCTTGCACACGTCTGCAGGAAAAGGGTTCATACAGTACGGCATTTACGGTGCGTGTAAAAGCACAAGGCGCGGGAGCATTTTGCTATATCTGCAGGCTGCACGATTGGGCAGGGCATAGAATGATACGGTTCACGCGAATTCACTAAGAAGGTTGCGGACACCTCGTTTTGTATCCCCTGCAGGGCAAGCAGCATCACGGGATCTGACATCCACCGATCAGTACTTTTCTGCAGTCGTGATACAACAACGGAATTCGGGGCAACCGAAACTATACTAGTGAGGCGGATAGGGGGGCGCATGCAATGCTTCCCACCTACAGTAAGAAGATCCGCGGTCCGTCCCCCGGGTGCACAGGGGGTGGTCGCATCGCCGCGCGATCGCCAAAACACATCATCAGCTAGCCTAACGCCTTCATTGCTGTGCATTATGGTAAGTTAGATTACTGCAGACCAACTGCTTCTACCGCGTGGTTAGAGTGGCGCGAGTGAGTTTGTAAAAAGGACCATCGAGGCCTGCTAAGATGCAGAGTTGAGTGCTATTGTCAGCGGCATGAGCGCATGACTGGGTTTCACACACACAAGGTGGGGTTTTTTAGGGTTTCACACACACGGAGGGGGGGAAGGGGCGACTCACAGTCGTCCGGATTGGTGCCTTCTGAAGACGCCTCCTCCGCTGTCACTGCCGTCGCCCCCACTGTGAGCAGCCGGCGATGTTGCGCGCGATGAAGGTGGCGGCCTGGGAGCTGCACGTGCTCGCCCGTGCCTCCGCTGACGGTGCTGTTAATGGTGTTGTTTGTACGGTTGTTGGCAGTGTTGGGATTGGTGTCAGGGTTGGTAGTAATGTTGGTGTTGGTGGTATAACTAGGGTTAATCGGGTTGGGATAAATGTTGGTGTTGGTGTCGTTGCTGGTGATTATGTTGGTGCTTATGCTGTTGCTTGTGTTGTCGGTATTAATGCCGGTGTTGTTCGTGGTGTTGGTAATGGTACTGTTGTTGTTGTTGTTGTTGTTGGTGGTGGTGGTGGTGGTGGCAGGGATATTGGTGGTATATTGGTTGGTAGCATTCGTGCTCGCATTAGTATAAGTTGTGTTGGTGTAAACGCTGNGTGATGGTGTTGTTCTTTTCGGTACTGTTATAGGGGAAATCAGTGTAGATGTTGGGGTGGTTGGTTGTGCTGCCGTTGTTAGTCGTGTTGTCGCTGGTAGTTGTGGTGGTATTGGTATTCATGGTGCTGGTACTGTTGTACCTGGTGTTGGTGGCATTGGTGGCTGAGGTGGTGGCGTTCTTGGGGCTGCACTCCTTATAACCCACAGCCGTCTTGTACTTGGTCCACTGGGCGGGCGGGCGGGCGGGTCGGGCGGGTCGGGTCGGGTCCCGGGGATGGGGGAGTGCAGGAAGGGTCAGATTGTGGTATCCTGGGTATCACGGGATCTGACATCCGCCGATCGGATCTTTTATGAAAAAGACGTGATACAACACAGGTCCAGGGAAGGGTCAGATCCAGGGAATGAAGAGCAAGGGCGGGACAGGGAGGGCGCAGGTAAGGGTGTTCCGGATCTAGCGGATCTGGACAGCAGATACGGATCACACGCCAAAACACAGCACTGCGTGACGCAACCAAGTCCCCGGCACGTGCTTCCCATCTATATAGCCATTTCCTGCGTACACATCTGCGCGAACTCTTTCCCCCTCTCCTCGACAGACCTGATCAGGGAACAGGGTTTCTCACCTGCGCCATGCTGATTTTCTGCGGCTTGAGCATCACGTGCCACAGCAGCCCCTCCGAGCAGGGCGGGGTGGTGAGGCTGCCCTCGTAGGTGACATACTCGCGGGAGGAAGGGGGAGGGAGAAGCTCCTCAAGACGGACCTCAGCGTCCGGAGGCAAATAGTTGATGGCCTGCAGGGGGGTGACATCAAATTCCCCTCCGACTTACAACTGTACAAGCCTGTTCGAAACACTTTACCGGAACAGATAATCAGCAGCAACAGCAGCAGTGATGCAGCAGCAGCAGCAGCAACAGGAGCTGATGGTGATGCCGCAGCAACGTGCATTGGGAAAGGGCACTCCCGTCGGCCACCTGTGAGACCTCGCCTTGCCATGCAACACGACGATGAAACGTTATGTAACTATGATAACAATTTGATCAGATCATACCAAGGTGCCCGAGCAATGGCTCCCAGGCAAAGAAGTACCATGAAACGAGCCCCGTCAAGCCCGGTCAAGGTAAAGGCGGCCCGGTACGGCCTTCAGCACCATATGATGTCATATCTTTCGGTGGGCCATTGGCTGTTGTGTTGACAATAATGCATGTTTGCCTGCGGCTGTTCTAGTCGCCACCACATGTAATACAGGTCACGCATTGACGGGGCAACGTGGGAATGCGGTGGTGTGGTGATGTGGCTGCTGCAACAGCGCTCTAACTGGGTCTATCCGTCCATACAGGGTCCGGTCCGGCCCGCGTGTCGGGCTCTCTATGAATAGCCCCGGAGCTGTTCAGGAGCGGGATCCCGCCACCGTCTAACAACGTAAGATAACATCCGTTCATCCGATGATCGCCTCATTTCATTAGCTCTCAAACCCCCCACATGCCCCCGCACCTCAACCGACCAAACATCCGACCACATCCTCGGCCAAACCGCAGCCCCTCCTTCACCCACTCCTTCACCCATTCTCCTCCTCACCCCTTCGCGCATGGGCATGGCCGCCCAGATGGCCTCCAGGAAGGGGTTGTCCTCCGACTGAGTCAGCTCGAACAGCACCCCCGTCACGGAGAAGCAGCCGGCGGTGCAGGCGGGCAGGTCAGTCACACGGTGGACGATGTGAAGCTCAAGAGGGTAGTACTTCCCTGAAGTGACACACACACACACACACACACACACACGCACACAAAAGCGGCCGGGTTAGCGTAATGGAATGGAATGGCGAGCTGGGAACCGGACGATTGCAGGTTCACTTCTACCAAGATAAAGACATAGTTTAAAAGAGAGTCAGATTCAAAACCCAAGTAATGTTAATCTGCTTTAGTCAGTCAGTCAGTCAAGGCCAAATCGCGATTGTGTGACACCCAGTGACACATATGCGACTGTCATTACAATGCGGATCGCCGGAACCATTGGGCTTTGCAATCATACTACGAATTTTACACTACCAGTGAACGCGCCTTCACGACGAACGACGAATTTCATGACTACTTTAGTCATGGCTAAGACATAAAAAATGTCATCAGACAATGCTTCCTTGAGAATGATAAAAAAACTCCTTGGAATTTCTTTTCGAGTCACATTCACCCTTCAGCCACATGAGACCACAGAGCTCCGCGGCGCCGCCCCACAACAAGTCGCGGTCAAAGTCGCGGTCAACTTTCTCAATCGGTCAACAACGCACAGCATGGCACTCCTGCACCTACCTCCAACCAGGTGCTCGGAGACCGTGTGGAAGTGGAACTGCAGCGGGATGGCTTTGACGGTGGTGAAGTTGTCACCAGGTTTCATGTTAAGGACCGCGGCGATGCGTGTCGCGTTACTGGGTTTCGCTGTGTGCGTGGGGGGGAACGACCGTGGAGCGTGGCATGCAAATAGGCACATTGAGGCTCTGTAAGAGGTCAATTAAGGTGGGAACCAATACTACACAAGATTCACAAGAAGTTAATTGTTGTTCCACAGAAGTCCAGGGACCGTCCGTAAGCGTGAAATCGTGAGGTACCATGGACGGGCGGTTGGCGACCATGGGGGGTCAGTCAGCATGACGAGCGGGGAGGGGAGGACGCAGGCGGGGTGGGATGTTGCAAGACAGGGCTGGGCGTGGGGATTTTCACGTCGTACATACACCTGGGTCGCGCGGGTATAGGTGTTGACGTACTGAAACCACGCATCTAACGTGTACGGTTATACCGTGTATAGTACGACACACCTGGGACTACAATCTCGACGTCGGCTGCATATGGCGACAGCCACTCAATCTGGATGGCGTGTCCGTTGTTGATAACCTCCACGTTAGAGCCGTTAGAGTAGATGGTTGGGTACGACCAGCGGGTACGGAACTTGTCCGGGATGTGGTCGCCGTGGCGATCTGCGCTTGTGTGGCCGACATGTCGATACCAAGTAACAAAAAAGGATAAATACAAGTTAAAACAAGCTTTCAACCGGGATATTGTCCGATCCTGAAATACAAATTAGATCTTTTACCGAACTTTAGCATTTTTCTGAAAGCATTTTTTGTCGGGAGGCACTGTCGTGTCATCTTTCCCTTAGGAAAACACGTTTACAGTAGCGCTGCTTACTTACTTAGAGAACCCGGATTCGGCAGGTTCAGCGGACTTTGATGCGTGCCCGTTAAGCACATCCATGGATTTCCCGCTGCATCAACACCAGCCCTGCAAAGCCAGCCGGGACAGCAGCGCCATAATAAGGTGCCGACGACGAGGAGCGAATGGAAGGACAACACAAAAAGTAACTCCCAGCAAGGGAATGTCCACCAAGAATGTCAACAACATGATGCGCCAAATGCCGCTGGCAAGTCGGTAAAGCATCCCGCACAATGCATGGCATCGGTGCAGAATTCAAACATGGACGAAATAAAAAATGCGCATATTTTCAGCATCCTAACAACAATATCTAAACTGAATTGACATAAAAGGATAGCAAATAAAGACGCGATTCGTCGCTGTAAGGATGCGAATTTGCACTTATGATCTGCGATGTACACAAGGTAACCTGCGGGCGTCATGAGGGCAATCCGCCGCTAGAGTTGGGTCTAATGCTATAATTCCTTGTAAAGGCCGATATGGGCCGTGTTTGTGCCTACCAGTCGTCTCCTTGGAGCGCATGGTTCCATGGACTGCCACCGTGAGGAGGTGCCTGTTAGGAGGGCATGGGGAAACGCATAGCGGGTGGTGCTGCTTATGCATATGACTGGTTGGGGCGGGTGGAGTCAGCGGGCGGCGCAGCTGCGCGGCAAAAAAGGCAGCCGACAGTCACTCATGGCTTCAAAGGGCAATCAATTGGAACTGCTGCAGTTTGACATGGGTGCTGCTTGCGGGGGAATTGCGTGGTGGGACTGGCCACGCGAAAGGGAGGAAAGGGTGGAGGAGGAACAGGCGAGGGAAATTAATATACATAGGCAGAAAGCGGCAAGCAGATGCAGCTGCATGCGATGCAAAGAGCGTTCGCAATAATATCAATCCAACGACGGAGTTGATGTCGATAGCGATGCTGGCGGTTCTCACATCATACTCCAAGCGAAGCATCTTAATCTCCTTAGAGGGATGGTTCTATTGTATGCCGCAATGTGGAAGGCGTGCTGACGGATACGGGTGAGCCATGCAAGGGTCGGCGGACGGTGCAGATGATGGAACCAACAGCAAGCGACAACGCTGTTCGGGACCCGCATGAGCGTGATACAATTTTTAACCACGAATCAAGATTTGGTCCAGGTATAGATGCGCTTATCTTTTATCCGGAATCGTTCACTCAAACACGAGCGCATCACCTGCCGCATTTGCCCACTTACCAATGAATCAGGCGATGTTCCATATTTGAAAATACAAGCAACAGCTGGCGTGGAAAAGTAGATAACCGCAAGGACCAGCCACTCCAAGAGCAGCATTCGGCTCATGTTTGGCTCGCGTCCGGCACTAGGGATTCTGTGTTACAGCGAGGGTTGATATTTGCAATGAACTGGTGAATTTATCCACTCTCTCCTTCTGCCGACATCTCCTGGAAGTGGAATCCTTCAAAACGCGCTGCAGCCGAACGGATGCGAATTTAGTAACAATGGCGCAATTAAACTTAACAAGCTAATCGATTAGGTTCGTTTTCATGAAATATAATTTTTAAAGAGACCCGCTTCTTCTAACGTGCTCGGCAGGCTTGACTGGATCTATTACGTGTTCAAGACTAATGAAATAAAGTGCCGCGGCAGCACTTTGGACCGTACCAACAGTACATTACTATAGGACTACATTACTACATGACACTTTTGACTAATCCAGGTGTGCTACCGCGATTCGCATGTTCTCCGGATAGCAACAGTAGCGTGCGACCCACAGGCCGCCCGACAGCGGCAACCTTCCATTTTCATGAGAAATTATAATCGTTACAAAGGGCTCCTGCAAGCAAATGGAATAAGTCTATGTTCGGTAGGTAGGCGGGGTGGAAGCCAGCCACCGCGAGGCCTGGACACCTAACGCCTCGCAGCAGCGACCTACGAAACCCGAAAAATACTAGAGCGACCTTCTTTACCGGCATTACATTGCGTGCCGACGCGAACAACCAACTCTTCTGAGTTCACAGGACACCTCGATTTTCTATATCGTTACTCTCAGAAAACCTTCAGTCTGACAACCGCCGTCATCTTGTCACAGCAAATCTTGATAAATCCTACGCCTCATCATACCAAATTAAATGGTAATTGCGTTTTAGTAGTCATTATCCGAAGAAATTGTACCGGAATAGCGCGTTTCTCCGGCATAATAATGAGTGATGCGTCAGCAGGATCGGCAAGGTGATGCATCAGCAGAAAGACATTCCCCGGTTTCCTTCCTAAGACCTGATGCACTTACGAACACACGAAACAGATACCAGATATCATGGCACATTGCATGTCCTGAAGGAAGAGGCGGGTCTCCGCCGTTTCGCATCAGGAGTTGTTGGAACGAGAATCGGCCATCCAATCAAGGGATGGGGGTGCGCGCCCCTTCCCCGGTGACAAGCAGCATGAAGCAGCATGGCAAGGCTCTTCCATTTACTGCGCGTTAACGGAAGTGACAGACGCGATAGACCAGCCTTTCCCTCCGCTAAAGTATAGGTGGATAGGCGCTTGATGGTGCGTGCGCTCTATCTACCTATGTGCTGCTAGAGGATAATCCCCGCACGCAGAGTCGTTTGATGGTGGGAGGGCTGATGTCCGGCGGGCTGATGAGGTGAACAGCTACCGGGGGGGTATCCGGTCCGGCTTGCCTGCTGGTGGCAACCTCTTCGGGGCTTTTTTGCTGGCCTGCAAGCACGGTGTTTGCGTGCAGGATGGGGCAATAGCAATACTAATTGCCTTTTTAAGGTGCATATCGAGCACAACACATACAATGTCAGCCTGGCCTTTCATTACAAACTTGGTGGCGGAATAAGCTATAGCCTAGCTGGGTATCGGATGAGTATCGGGGCGGCAAGCTAGACCTCTCCAGATTGGGCAACTGGGAGAAGTCCGATCTGCGAAGTTAGGTAGAGGAGATATGCAGGCATGCAGGATACTTCCTGCTGCCCTACCTATCGTGCATAAGGTTAAAATTAACCACGGTGAACGCCACATGGAGAGCTCTGAGGGTGTCTCAGATCGCTACATATCAGGCCGTATGTACATGCCCACGTCGTCTCCAAGCAAGGACAACACAGTACCTGGGTTTGTGTCGTGTCGGTCTATTTCACACCTCCAACATTTAACAATCTTTGGGAAACGCGGAGGCAGGCCATGGCCTCCGACAAACGTATTGATATGTTCAATCCGTATTCCGCACTCCAGGACTGATGATCTCTGGATTGCCGTGCAATAGCTTTAACCTCAGAAAGCTTTAGTAGCTGCATGCTGCACACGAACACGGTCGTATCGAGCGCACGAGAGCATCAGTCATTGCGTATTTAGGCGCAGACACCATACAGTAGCTGTCGTACAGTACGACTCACACCATTAATACACACACACGCGCGCGTTGTTAGTCTATCTTCAGCGGCCGGCTACAACAAGGCAGGCGGCTGGCAGAGGTTAAGGCCTGACTTCTGCTCCCGGTCGACCCGGGTTCAAATCCGTCTGCCGACCTCTCGGGTGTTTGAGAGGTGGTGAAATGGAAGGTAGCCCCCCATCTTGTGGACGGTGTAGGACGTGAGAAAATCATCTCGCGAGCTGACCAGGATCTAAGTTGAGGCGCCGTTGATCCGCTAGAATTGGTTGGATGCTAATGGTGAGTTGCCAAACTCAAAGAATACACTTTGAAGTCGGATGGGGTGAA